AATCTTCACTTTTCACCGAAAAAGTGTTTTATGTGAAAAATTTCATCCCACTCTCCTTGAGGCCTTTCTCCCCTGCTCCACTGTGGGGCTTCAACCCTCTCCTGGTCTCAGCGGGCAGCCCGAACAGCCGACTCAGAGCAGCTGTATTGCCGGTTGAAAACATAGGCCAGCTCCTGCCCGAAAGGGATCAGTGTGGCCCCTTCTCCAGGTTTTATGTGAAAAATTTCATCCCACTCTCCTTGAGGCCTTTCTCCCCTGCTCCACTGTTGGGCAATTCAAAAGGACCTGGGACCCCCGGCGGCTGCCACCCTACTGAGGCAGTGGCCACAGCCAGAGGCCTGGCCCTTAAAATCATCGCTGGAGTCCCGTGGGCGACTCTGTTTGCTGGCTGGAGGGCGGAGGGGGCGTGGTACACCCTGGGCGGTGCTGAGGACTGCTCCTAGCCCTGCCCTTTCCACCTGAAGCCAGGGCCCTTCCAGGAGTTCGGTGCCACCCAATCCCCCACACCTTGCCCGGGGGCCGGCAAGCCTGTCAGCCCTGCTGCTGAAGCTGCAGAGAGAGAAAGGAGGGAGGATGGGGGCATGCACAACAGGGCTACCAAGGCTTGGCTCCAAGCCGAGAGCCTTGAGGAGCGGGAGGAAGAGCAGGGGGCAGAGGAACCGAAGCGCTGAACCTCCAGTCCTACCCCAGTGAAAAGAGAGGGCCTTAAGGCCTCAGAGATCACAGGGTTATTGGACACAAGCTGCCTCCCCCTTCCCATAGGTTGGCTTCCCTGGGGTTCTTCAGCCTGAGGGGATAATTTCCTCACACCATCTCCCCAACAAACACTGATTTCCCAGGGGGGATACCGGAGTAGGCTGGGGCCTGAGGATACTGGTGCACACCCGCTGACTGCCTGGGTTTACACTGGTATCAGAGATAGCAGATTTAGCCCAGTGCCAGGAGGTAACCAAAGTCTTTTTCTCGGCATCCCGACCCAAGCAGGGGGCCCCCACGTTTCTGGGGTCTCTGGAGTCTCACCATTGAATTTCCCTCTGGCCTTAAACAGGTGATGGGTCCACCTCTCATGGAAACATGTGTCCTGATTGTTTTGTCATGTGATACTGTCCAGACCTGAGGTCCTGTCGTGATCGCCTGGGGTGGTTGTGGTTGGGAATTCCCCATTTCATCTGTTTTCTGGCTGCTGATCTCACCGTCTGGGGATGGTGTTGAGTCAGTGGTTCCCAAACTTTTCGGCATCACGCCCCCTTTTTGATTTTTGAGAAACCCTCATTCCCCTCCCCAAAAATACAGAAGCAAAACTTGTTGAGCGGATGCCTGAGCGGATAGACGGACCGGGTTCTTTCTTGGGGGGCAGATTGACCGGAGGGGAGGGGGCTGACTCACCTCGCACCCCCCCTGGAATTTCTTCACGCCCCCCAGTTTGAGAACCCATGGTTTAGACACTTGTAGATGGGTCTTGTTCTGTCTCGATGGGTCTGGGATTTTCCACACCCTCCATGGGGACTGAGAGCCAGCCCCTCCCGACTTTCAGTCTGGGTTTGGATACTGACTTCCTGGGCGACTCTTTTGTGCCTCAGTTGCCTTTAAAAAAAGAAACAGGGAGGGATTAACGCTGCTGCCTTTGTTTTGTGGCCAAAATATTCCACTCATACGGCATCACTGCCAACATACATACTCAGCCCCTGATTTCTTTGCTTGTGCCCAGTTTCCTGAGAAGGAGAGATGCCCGGAGCATCTTGGGTTCTTTAAGGTATGTTTTTGAGGAGGGTAGGTGGGGAGGCAGTCCCCTTTAGGGTTTTCGGGCCTCAGGGTTACTTCACTCCTGTGATAAGGCCTCTGGTTTGGGACCCAGTGGTCTAGGGAAATCACAAAGGTAGATATGGGCAAAGAGAGGAAGCCAACTCCGAGGGAATAGTCTGTTTGAGGGAAAACCTGTGCTGCTATTTCTTACTGGGCCCGGATCCAGGAGTCTTGTAGCGAGGGTGAGGTAAGGCTCCCTTCTCCACTGCTCCGTCAAAGCTAGGAACAAGGGCTGTGTCTATGCTGCCCCATCCTGCTGACCCCTCTGAGGCTGGGGACACACTGGAGAGGGGCCCCTGCTGAAGCAGACAGCGCCGCGGGCCTGAAGTAATGAACACAGCCCACCAAAGGAGCTGTAGGCCCTCTGTGCCAAGGAGGGAGTGGGCAGACATAGTACCCCAGTCTCAGTAGGAGGGCTCGGATGATTCCTGAGCCTGAGGGGAGCGTCTAGGGGCCAGGAAGGCCAGGAGTAAAATCTCCCCCTCCCCTTCCAAAGCAGTAAGGCTGGGAAGAACCAAAGAGGGAGCTCTTCTGGGGGAAGCTGTGCAAACTAAACACATGAGACCTCAGGAGAAGGGAGCTATTGTGTGAGGACTCTGGACGTGACTGGTTTATTACTGAGCCCAAGTAGAAGCCTCAGAGGTGAGCCTTCAGGGCCATGCTGGGCCTCAAGAGGCTGCTAAGGGATGGTGGCCATTGCTAAATACAACTGGGATTTGCAGACAGCAGCTCACAGGCCCAGAGCCTTATACAGCTCCGTAAGATATTCAAGTGGTTCTGTAGAGTGGAAGAACAGGGGGCTTGTTGAAACACTTGGGTGGTGGCAAGTTCGTGTGTAAATCCAACTTGCCGTTACCAGCTCTTTGTGTCTGTGTGGACCCTGCTGCTGTGCACTGAAAGCTCCCTACGGCGCTTTAATCAACCTGCTTTGTAATGGGACTAGATTCATTTGCAGGGAACGCTGAGTGAGTAACAACAGGGTACATGTGGAGACATTGTGCACTTAGTTCATGTAGACAAGCCCAGAAACGCACAGATACAATGCCCCTCTGTAATGCCAACAGGTAGAACTGAACCTGGGACTTCTAGGGTATGTATAGACTATAGGCTTTTGTCAACAGAAGTTTTGTCGACAGATATTGTTGACAAAGCTTCTGTCGACAAAGAGCATCTAGACTGCAGCCAGTTCTGTCGACAAAGCAAGCCGCTTTGTCGACATGACAATATAGATGCAAAGGGCAGTGTAGATGTAATAATGCCTTCTGTCGACAGAACTCTGTTGACAAAAGATGTTATTCCTCATAGAATGAGGTTTACAGCCGTCGACAAAACTGCTGTGTTCTGTCGACGTTATGTCACCAGAACTCAGCGGCAGTGTAGACGCAGGTATAGTTTTGTCAACAAAAGTCCACTTTTGTCAACAAAACCCTGTAGTCTAGACACATCCCTAGAGCTTAGTGTATGAGCCTCGATGCAGCAGCTGACTTTTGAGAGCAGGGTGTAGAACAAACACATTCTCTCATGCTCTGTAAGTGGTCTAAGGGCCATGGCATGTGACAGTGAACCACATCCAGTAGGCATGTGAGTTACACCTGCAGTGAAGAGTTGAACACCTAAAAAGGCAGGGACTGAAGCAAACATGGCTCCTTCTGACCTTAAAGTCTCTGGCTATGTCTAGACTGCAGGCTTCTTTCGAAAGAGGCTCTTTCGAAAGCATCTTTCGAAAGAGCCTCTTTCGAAAGATCGCGTCTAGACTGCAGGCGGATCTTTCGAAAGAGCAATCCGCTTTTTCGAAAGAGAGCACCCAGCGAGTCTGGATGCTCTCTTTTGAAGACGGCCTCTTTACATTGAAGAATGCCTTCTTTCGAAAGAGGAACTTTCGAAAGAAGGCGTTCTTCCTCGTTAAACGAGGTTTACCGCCATCGAAAGAAAAGCCGCGTTCTTTTGAAATAATTTCAAAAGAACGCGGCTTGAGTCTGGACGCAGGGGAAGTTTTTTCGGGAAAAGGCTACTTTTCCTGAAAAAACCCCTGAGTCTGGACACGGCCTCTGAGTCTACATCTAGACTGCAGGCTTCTTTAGGAAGAAGCTTTTCTGGAAGAGATCTTCCAGAAAACCTTTTTTCGAAAGAGAGCATCCACACAGCAAAAGCTCAACGAAAAAGCGATCTGCTTTCTCGAAAGATAGCGTCCATATTGATTGGATGCTATCTCACATTTCAGTTGTGATTACTGTGGATGGAGGGGCCACCAGGGCACCTGTGTTTTTTCCCTGGAGGCCTCTTCTTTCGAAAAAAACACTCTCTGCCGCGTCCACACACGCCTTTTTCCGAAAAAGCTTTTTTGGAAAAAGGCTTCTTCCTCGTAGAAAGAGGCTTACCGCTGTTGGCAAAACCCCTCCTTCTTTCGACTTTCTGTCGAAAGAACGCAATGGCAGTGTGGATGTAAGTGTAGTTTTTCCAGAAAAATTCTGCAGTGTAGACATATCCTGAGAAACCATTGAGCAAGGTGGGGAGCGGCCATTTAACGGCAAGTCTACATTGCAATCTGGAGATGCCAGCTAGATTGCTGCTAGCTCGGATCTGTCCACTCATGCTGCAGTCAGGCCTCCGGCCGCCGTGTGGACACACTCCGGGTGTGAATGTTTCTGAGGCAAGGGGGGTTTCGAGCCGCTTCTTAAAGGTGGAGAGAGGGCGGGAAGTTGAAGTGTATAAACAGGCCCATTCATAAGTCCCACTGAAGTCCGGTGAGGTTAGTCAGGCTGTAACCCCAGGCCTTTGTGGGGTGGCTCGGTTCCCCTCTAGTGTCAACTAAATGAGCTAGAGCTTGATGAGGCTGCTACAGCCTGGGCTAAGGAAAGCATCTTTTAGCTCAGGCAGTAGAGGCTCATGCATTAAGCTCCAGGGATCTCAGTCTGATCCCAAGTGCCTGGGGTCTGTAGGCATGACATAGGTAGGACCGATGATGGAGGGATACGGGGGTGGGGGGCAGAAGGGGGAAACTGGCGATTCTAAAGGGCTGAGGGCCCCCAGCCACCTCCTGCTACTGTAGCAGCGGTGGGGGCGGGGGGGACTAAAGCCCTGGGCCCTTTAAATCACTCCCAGTGCCCCTCCCCGCACATTCCCGGTGGCTATGAGGGCTGGGGGGAGGGCGGTGGGGTGCGATTTGGGTGGTGCCGAGGGCTGGCTGGTTCCACTCTTATCCCTTCTGCCAGAGACCCCACCCCTTCAGGAGCTGCCCCTTTGACAAGGGGCCCAGCCTGGCTCATCCTGCATGTAGGTCACACATGCATTCATTTTTACCAAAGAAAGATGATTTAATGGCTTGGGACTGATTGTCCATGGCCTTGCGCCTTCTGCAATCAGCTACCATTCTCGTGGGGCGTCCTTCCACCCCCACTCGGCACAGAGCTATGGCACTCCAGGCAAGGCAGGCAGGTGGAGAATCAGGCTCTTGCTTTCATCTGTGTTCCGTGGCCTGCTTAGAGAGTCCATCAGCACAGCATCGAGGCACCAACGGACACGGATTGATTGTTTTATTTATTGTCTGAGTGCCCAGGGGGGGCTCGGTGCAGCACCCAGAGGTCCCTGGAGCTTACGGTCTACGTGGCTCTTGCTGTCACTCGTCTCCGTTCTGCAGCTGCACAACTCAGCATGTGGGGGATGGGTTAGTGCTTCGGGTGGCAATAGATCATGACCCCTGCCAGGCATGTTCCAGTCCGTTCCTCACCAAATCTGCAGCCCCACAGTCGGCACTGGCCACCCGTACGAGACCAGTTGCTTTTACATTTCCGAGTGCCTCTAAATAAAAAGCTTCCTGTAAAATCAAACTAAAAGTCATTGGTGATCCTGGGATCAGAGCACAGTGGTTCCAAGAAAGAAGACACTGCCGGCTCTCGGGTGCTGAAGAGTGAGACATCTAGGTGAGAGATCGGCACATATATGCTGCAGTGAGCTCTTTCCCACCAGGGCAAAATATGGTTGCAAGAAAAGCATGTAGTCTGTCTAAAGAAAACATTAATGATCACGTTCAATACCAACTCCAAAGAGTGCACACTCTTTCGAAAGAGGCTCTTTCGAAAGCATCTTTCGAAAGAGCCTCTGTCGAAAGAGAGCATCTAGACTGCACGGAGAAATTTTGAAAAAGCGGCTTGCTTTTTCGAAAGAAAGCATCCAGTGAGTCTGGATGCTCTCTTTCGAAGAAGCCCTATTTACATTGAAGAACGCCTTCTTTCGAAAGAGGAACTTTCGAAAGAAGGCGTTCTTCCTCGTGAAATGAGGTTTACCGCCATCGAAAGAAAAGCCGCATTCTTTCGATTTAATTTCGAAAGAACGCGGCTTGAGTCTGGACGTAGGTGAAGTTTTTTCGTAAAAAGGCTACTTTTTTCGAAAAAACCCCTGAGTCTGGACACAGTCCTAGGATATTGACTTCCCGGGGTTGGAAGATGTGGACGGTACAATTTGAAGCACAAGAATTCAACAGTGCCACTTAGGCCATCAGGGCCAGCCCACAACATTTCGGCACCTGAGGTGGGGAACTCAAAGATGCCCCCATACCCCCTCGCTTGGGCCAAAACTTTGAAAAGTCTCTTGTACCCTCCTTTCTCCAGCACAGCACTCCACCGTCTCTGTGCATCTAGAGCAGAGAGAATACATGTGCACCAGCAGCAGACAATTTTCTACCCTCTGGGGCCTAGTGGCACCCTCTCTCCCCCCACAGTCTGGCACCTGAGGTGGCTCCCTCAGTTTGCCTTATGGTAGGGCTGGCCCTGAAGGCCATGTCTACACTAGGAAACTATAACTCCTGATTTAACAAAACTGAACTAGTGTGTCCTCACTATGGGGGAACCTTGAAATTAGTCTGAGGAAGACACTGTTAATGTGGATGTGCTACTTCAACTTAGTGCCCCAGGAAGCGCTGGGGAACAATGAGTTTGAATTACTTTGGGGAATCATTATTCTGAAATAGTGGAACTGGAGCATTCACACGACTGTTATTTCAAAATATTTTTTTCAGAATGAGTGTTATTCCTGATGAAAAACAGGAGTATAGATTTTGAATTTAGCAGCCCATTATTTCGAAACAACAGGCTTGGATTTAGCAGCCCATTATTTTGAAACAACAGGCTTGGACGCTCTGCTTATAAATTCAACTTTGGGGCAGTTGTTTCAAAATAAAAGTCCTAGTGCAGGCTAGGGTCTAGTGATCTCCTGGTATCGAGCGAAGCACGTGTGTTTGAGTGGCCAACTTTACTTAGGGACAGCACCAGAACAGGGACATTGGGAGACATCATGGTGACCGTGAGAGTGAGGTTTCAGATCTACCGAGGTGCTTTGAGCAAGCCCATGACCCCATTTTCCCATGAAAGAGAGAGATGCATAAGAGATAGCATCTTGTCTGTAGCCCTCAGGGGTGGGGAAGGTTGATTATGATCATTTTTATAGATGGGGAAACTGAGGCTGAGGGAGGGTAAATGCGTTTCCAAAGGTCTCACAGAAGATCCGAAGCACAGCTGGGAATGGAACCGAGACCCTAGAGAGAGGTTTGGGGGATTAACTAGTTAAGGTTTGAAGATGCTAAGTGGGTATCAGTTTTCTCCACCTGACCCCTGTGTGTGTCTTACCTTGAGCTGCCTGGAGGCTGAGGAAGAGAACAAGAAGCAGAAGGTAAAGGATCCTCATGGCTGGAGATGGGCTGGGAACTCAGCTGTCTGGTGAGGAAAGCGGAGAAGCAGATCAGGACTGAAGTTTCTTAAACGAAGGAGTTGGAGGCTCCGTGGGCCCGCTGCTATGTTGTGCACAGTCCAAGGTGAGACGGAGAGCAGCAAAGTGTGGCCATATACCACCTTTGTGCTTCTCTCATGCTGGGCTGCTCCGGAACTGACACAACACAAGGTTCTCCAGCTATTCCCTCTTTCACCCCTGCATGCTCCTTCCTGTGTCTGGTCAGGGTCTCCATAAGGGGGCGCTGTACCAGCTTCCATGCAAGGAAGTGTGTGTAGGACGAAGTGGTGCTAGCATTTCATACAGTGTCACAATGGCCCATGATACACAAGGTGCTTCATACAGTGTCACAATGGCCCATGATACATAATCATGTAAAGAAAGGTGCCGAAAGGAGAGCCAGAGGGGCTGAATGAATGAAACCAGAGAGAGCGAAAAGAACCACCCAGCACCACATCTGGCAAACAAGAGGGCTACGTCTGGACTGGCATGATTTTCCGCAAATGCTTTTCACGGAAAAGTTTTTCCGTGAAAAGCATTTGCAGAAAAGAACGTCTAGATTGGCATGGACGCTTTTCTGCAAATGCACTTTTTGTGGAAAAGCGTCTGTGCCAATCTAGATGCGGTTTTGCGCAAGAAAGCCCCGATCGCCATTTTTGCCATCGGGGCTTTTTTGGGCAAAACAGTTTTTAGCTGTCTACACTGGCCCTCTTGCGCAAAAGCGTTTCCGGAAAAGGGCTTTTGCCCAAGTGGGAGCAGCATAGTATTTGCGGAAGAACAGTGACAACCTTACATGAAATTCAAGCGGCCAGTGTAGACAGCTGGCAAGTTTTTCTGCAAAACCAGCTGCTTTTGCGGAAAAACTTGCCAGTCTAGACGCAGCCGAGGAGTGTGGCAGCAGAAATTAAACCTTGTGGGGGGGACAAAACAATGACGAGGGAAGTTTATTCTATTTCTCAGCCCCTCTGGGAGGCCTCTAAAAAAATCTTCAGGGAAGAAAAGAGGCAGAGGAAGGATTTTCTTTGGTCAAACACCAGTGAGGATGCTTGGCTACCACCATGGCACCAGAAGGACCCCAGCTTGATACATCTGAGTTCCTGCTCTGTTTCCTCCTCCCTGGGGAGTCCCTTTCCACCCCCCACTGTTTTCGGCTCATCTTATCTGGAACTGAAATCAACTGCAATGCATGGCACCAACACCGTGAGACGAGATGGCCCACTCAGCTCTGCTTGGCCTGAGAAGGAGCAGTGAAGGAAAGAGACCTGACAAACCCAACTGGATGGTAAGTGAGCCAGGGACCCAAAACAACAGCTCTTGTGGCTGACTTGCCAGCTAAAAGCATCCAATCGGTTACTGAGCAACTGGCATGGACCTGAGAACAACAACAAAAGATTTATTTCACCACCTTTTACGAGCCTACCGCATCTTCACCTTTTGTGTCTGTCTGTTTTGTTGAAAGGAAAGTGACCCTCCTTCCCAACTCAGAACGGAACAGGAAAACCACCGAAAAAACGTTACAGGTTAGAAATTACAGTACCTCACCCTGAGTCTATCCGCTCTTCATACGGGGAATGCTGCCATAGTATTACTCATTCAGCAACAGCAGAATCACAAAATGTGTTTTGGACGATCATTTAGTTTCCCTTTCAATGCTTTTTGCCTTGGTTTGGTTTATTTCCTGTAGAGTGTCTCAGTCTATCCATTTCTAATCTCGGACAGGAATTACCTAGTGTATTTTCCATGGTATTAAGCAGCCTGCGGGCTCTGTACTCAAAATCCCAGACCTGTTAATATTGTTAATATCGTGCAAGGACAGGCTATGGGAACACTTGTGACTCTTCCATGCAAATCAAAACAACAGGCGGAATGCTCCACAAATGCTGTTACACACCATTTCAGGCCCACCTCCACTGCTGGAGCAAAGCACTCCAGGAACAGGTCTACATGGTGTGACCTCAGGCCTACAGAAAACCTCTCTCTACCCAGAAGTGCTCCTTTCGACTCTCTGAAGCACTGAGAACAGGCCATTTGCAAGGCGCTGAGGATTTAAAATTCACTAACCACGGCTGTAAGCTATTGCCATGCAGGGAAACTCAAGTGTCCGTCTGCTATGTACATTGGACAAACGTCTCAGACACTTCGCCAAAGGATCGATGCCCACAAAACAGATATTAGACAGGATCACAAAGAAAAAACAGTTTCTTGCCATTTCAACCAGAAAGGACATTGTCTCAACGACTTAATTACCTGCATCTTGCTTCAAAAGCCTTTTAACACTGCACTTGAAAGAGAATCCTCTGAACTGTTATTCATGCTAAAATTCGACACTTTACACCTGAGTCTCAACAAAGGATCTAGTTATCTTACCCATTACAAAGATAGCTTCCCCAATTATCAGCTCTAATATCATTAGCTCACAGACATGTACCTTCCCCCCCCATCCCCCTTCTGTTCTGAAATGTGATTTGTCCTTTTCATATGTGTTCATTTTTTAAATTGTATCATTTTCTTCCACTATTTGATCTGAGGAAGTGGGTCTGGCCCACGAAAGCTCATCATCTAATAAACCATCTTGTTAGCCTTTAAAGTACTACATAGTCCTGCATTTTGCTTCAGCTACACCAGACTAACACAGCTACATTTCTATCACTCAACTAGTGAGACCATTAAAGGTTAGAAGTGATCGTACCTCACCCTGTGTCTGCCAGCTCCCCAGGGGTTCTGCCACAGAGTTACTCATTTGGCAGTGGCAGAATAAAGCCCCATGAATTTACAAAAAAGCAAAAGAGCAAGTCCAAACCATGCATCGTCCCACAGATGCTCCCCCCATCAGCAGGATGTTCTCGAGTAAGCTTGCTCAGCAACTGCAGAACAACTCTCTCATGCCAAAGCAGCTAAGACTCATTTCTTTCACCAGTCCCTAAGAGCAGTTCCAGCTCTCACTCCTCTGGGGATTTGGGATCCCTCCTGGAAAGTGGCCGTTTCTGCTCTAAGATTGTGGGTACTTTACCTTTCCGGAAGTCTGCTGCAAACAAGTTAGGCCAAGGTGCTAAGGAAGATGTGGGTTCCCGTTCGCTGTCTCCTATATGTGGCAATGGCAGCACACGCGTCTTAGCAATTGGGCCTCAAAGACTGCATTTATCTTGGTTGCAGAATGGACTCTTATTGGCTGGACACCAGACAAAGACAAAATGAAAACGAAAAGATGCTCTTTGGCCATTGAAAGCCCCCTTGTTCCCCATAGGCCAAAGATAGAACTTGCTCTTTGCTGAAATGCAAAACACTCAACTGTAGCATTGGAAAATACCCATGGCTACCTGAAACTGCAGAACGGTATTAACAGTATTCGGGGGCTTTCCTGACTCCCGGCAGGGACTTTCAAAAATTTACCCATGGCTACCTGAAACTGCAGAACAGTACTAATAGTATTCGGGGGCTTTCCTGACTCTGGCAGGGACTTTCAAAAATGCCCAAGTGATGTAGGAGCCAGAGGGGCATGTGGGTAGCAGGTTAAGTGGCCAGTTGAAGTCAATGGAACTATTACAGTTTACATCCGCTGAGGTCGAGTCCCTCAGTCTTTCAAAGGCAATTAGGCCACTACATCACTTAAGAGGCGTATTGTCAGTCCCAACCATTCCAGTATCTTGAGACAAACAATGTGAGCCTCGGCCATTTTAAAAAAAATAATCTGGGTTCTTTCTATTTGTCTTCTATTGTCCTAGCCATCGTCATTTATATTTTTCTAAGCAAACAGGAAGAGTAGAACATGCTTAAAAAAATTGGGCTGCCGACAAAGTGCTGAGTCGGCAAAACGTGACGGCCATTTTTATGCAAATTAGGCACCGGATATTTAAATCCTTGCCTTATTTGCAATGTCGATCTGCCTAATCTGCATCCCTCTGCCGACAGAGGGATGCAGTCTACACATGCCCATTGAGATTTTCAGGTGATCATCTAATACTAGGAGCCGGGCATTCATGAGAAGCACAGACATTAAAAGGAAACCATGAGAACTGGCAACACAGTCATGCCCGTGAAATAGCATATGCCCCAGAATTACCTATTAACATTTCAGACCCCAGAAATAAATATAACCCAGGCTCCTTCTGGGTGGGCTGTACTGTCCAGTGTAGTGGCACCGAGACCCCTTATGGAGAGATAACGAGTCTGCTCCATAGTTAGGAGGGTCTGGCCTAAATGTATCAGCAGTTCTCTGTCTGCCTGCACTTCACCCTCCTCCGCATATGTTCCCAAGAACATACTGAGCTGCAGAGATGCACACGGGGCAACCTTAGAGCAGTGGGGGAGAGAGGACAGGCAGCACCGCAGAGACAGTGCTGCGGAGAAACAGCTTTTAAGCTGGCTCCCCCCAGCACTGGCCTGTTTCCCCTCCTTGCTGCCTCTCATACAGAGGCAGGAAGGGGGAGGAGGGAAAGCGAGTAGTTGAGAACTCCATGTCTACGTCTAGACTGGCATGATTTTCCAGAAATGCTTTTAACGGAAAAGTTTTCTGTTAAAAGCATTTTCGGAAAAGAGCGTCTAGATTGGCATGGATGCTTTTCCGCAAAAGCACTTTTTGCGGAAAAGCATCCGTGGCCAATCTAGACGCACTTTTGTGCAAAAAAGCCCCGGTCGCCATTTTTGCGATCGGGGCTTTTTTGGGCAAAACAAATCTGAGCTGTCTACACTGGCCCTCTTGCGCAAAAGTTTTGTGCAAAAGGGTCTTTTGCCCGAAAGGGAGCAGCATAATATATCCGCAAGAAGCACTGATTTCTTACAGTAGGAAGTCAGTGCTTTGTGGAAATTCAAGCGGCCAGTGTAGACAGCTGGCAAGTTTTTCCGGAAAAGCGGCTGATTTTCCGGAAAAACTGGTCAGTCTAGACACAGCCCATTTGACTACTCAATAAGCGTATGCTTGTCGGGTAGTTGAACAGTTGACTGCTCGCTTAGAATCATAGAAGTGACCTCAGGAGGTCATCAAGTCCAGCCCCCTTCCCATGGCAGGACAAATCCCAACTAAATCAACCCAGCCAGGGCTTTGTCAAGCCGAGACTTAAACACCTATAGGGATGGAGATTCCACCACCTCCCTAGGGAACCCATCCCAGTGCTTCCCCACCCGCCTAGGGAAATAGTTTTCCTAATATCCAACCTAGACCTCCCCCTCTGTAACTTGAGACCATTGCTCCTTGTTCTGCCATCTGTCACTACTGAGAAGGAAGTTGAAGGCTGCTCTCAAATCCCCCCTCACTCTTCTCTTCTGCAGACTAAATAAACCCAAATCCCTCAGTCTCTCCTCATAGGTCATGCGCTTATATCCCTCTGTGCGCCCACAATTCCCCCCTGAGATCTGTGGGCACTAGCAGTGCGCAGCACCTTTGGAAATCATACCACCATGGCATTGATGGGTGCGCCAATATTACAGCTGGGACAGTGCAGACCTGCCCTAGCTCTAACACTAGTTGCAGCAGGGGGAGCAGCATGGGTTAGCTGTCCGAGTACTTGCACCCCTGGCCCTGGGTCCACAGTGAGAGGGCTAGCTCATGCCCAGGACCCACACGGCTATTTTTAGCATGCTAGCTCAGACAAAACCAGCACCAGCCTATCTACCCAGGCTGGGAGACACTGTCACTCACCTACCCTGTGAGTTGTGGCAAGGGCCCCTTTAACCTTGCTGGACTCGTCCCCTTTCCCCTTGGTAAGAAGGGCCCCAGGCAAAGCACCCCCTGTCTGTCATGTTGGGGCAAAACAGCCTTCCCTTCAGAAGTGGGTTAGCCTGGTAGCGTGTCCCTGAGGGGAAGGGAAGGGAGGAAAGGAGAGAAGATGGAGCCCAGACTTTCCTCTTAGAGCTCTTTACTGCCCTCCTGTTTCTCACTCTGTAACCTACCTTCCTTCCTTCACCTAATCTGGGAGGCTTTTAAACGGTCTTCAGCACGCCTGGAGTGGAATCAGCTGGCCCTAACTGATCCATGGTAGCCCAGTCTCAGTTGATCCCTAATCTGCCTGAGCCAGCTCCCTGTCAGCTGCCCTAATTGGCCGACTCCTCATTAACAAGGGACTTGGCTTTTTTCCTTGCTAGGCCTGCTCTTCTCCCACTCCACCACAGCCCTCCGACCTGACTTTGTCACAGGCTATGTCTACACTGGCGCGATCTTGTGCCAGAAATATGCAAATGAGGCTAAGTGTGGAATATCGCCGAGCCTCATTTGCACATCTAATGAGCCACCATTTTTGCAGAAGAGGCTCTTGCACCAGAAGGAGCGTCTACACTGCCTCTTCTTATGCATATCGCGGAGCCTCATTTGCACATCTAATGAGACGCCATTTTTGCAGAAGAGGCTCTTGCACCAGAAGGAGCGTCTACACTGCCTCTTCTTATGCAAGAAAAACCCCTCTTGCGCAATGCCATTATTCCTGAAAATGATCAGCGTAACGACATTGCACAAAAGGGTTTCTCTTGCGCATGAAGGGGCAGTGTAGACAGCTCCTTCTAGCGCAAGAGCCTCTTCTGCAAAAATGGCGGCTCATTAGATATGCAAATGAGGCTCAACGAGATTCCACGCTTAGCCTCATTTGCATATCTCTGGCACAAGATTGCGCCAGTGTAGACATAGCCACAGAGTCTACTGCTGGCAGCAGCTACTTTGCTAGAAGAGAAAAAAAAATCAAGAAAACAAGAAAGAGAAGCCCCCATTTCTGGTCCTGCCATGGTGACGTAGCAATGTCAGAACCTGCAGAGTGGTTTCTAACCGTGTTCAGAATTGTTTATTTATTCACAAAAAAAAGTCCCTGTTTGTCTTCTCATTTACATGGGTGTGAATCGGGAGTTGCACACTGTTTTGCTGCTCTGTACATTGCAGTCAGAATGCAAGGGGATTGCTTTGGGGTGCAGAGCAGCTGGCATTTTCAGCACAAACTAAGCTACCCATAACCCCATGGCACAACTCTGGGTCATGCCGTACTTATCATCCTCATTTGACTATCAAAGGGATTCATTTAAATCTGCATGATTTTATAGACCTCTATCAAATCCCCCCTCCTCTTTTCTAAGCTGCAAAGTCGCAGTCTTTTTAATCTCTCTTCATATGGCAGCTGTTCCAAACCCCTCATCATTTTTGTTGCCCTTTTCTGAACCTTTTCCAAAATATCTTTTTTCGAGATGAAGTGACCACAGCTGTACGCAGTATTCAAGATGTGGGCATGCTATGCAAAAGTCCTATGATTTTATGCAGCTGTGGACATGCCTGCAAAGCACAGGGACATCCTGGAAAACCAAGTGATCTTTTCTGGCCCTCTACTATCAGTACTGGCAGGGAATTGGACTCCCATCTGTCCAGCCTGTCAGATTACTCTGGATTTGCTGGCCAGCATCCCTCCTGCTCTCCACCTGTTTCTGTGTTGACTTAAATGTCCAGACAGTGTCTAACCCGCAAGGGAGCTTTACTTTCAGGGCAGGTACAAAGACAATTACACGTTTCTGTCCAGGCAGAGATAACACACAAGAACATCAATAAAGAAGCTTTTCATTGGCCCCATTGCCTTCCAAGTTACTCCAGAGGGTGTCCTCCTTCCACAAGTCTCTCAGTTGACTCCTCACCTACCGGCTTTCCCATGCACCTGTCACTCCCCTTCCCATGAGCCTCTAGGTTTTCATCTTCTTACACCCACTTGAAAAGTCCCTCTTAGGGTCCAGCTGCTTCTGCTGAGCCCCAGAAGTCCAGCTTCCTCCGCTTTGCTTAGACGCAGGCTGCATCGCTCCACAGAACACATAAAGAGTGACACTTTATGCTTCAGACTTCCCTGCCTGTCCAGGGACAAGCCGGTGGTGTGAGGATTAGCTGGTTAATGATTACAGTTGTTATCAAGTGCTAGGGATTATTATACCGGCCTGAGTCCTGTAATGTGACTCCAAGCTTACTTATATGACATTATTATTATGATCATCTCTCGTTTGTATTGCCACAGCGCTTAGAAAGTGCCGGCACATTCAGTGCCTCGTTGTGCGAGGCACTGTGCAAGCACCCAGCGAGAGGCAGTCACCTCGCCAAAAGGTTCACAGAGACAGTGCAGGAGGGGAAACAGAGTCACAGGGAAAGGCAGCGATTTGTTCAAGATCGTGGGGGGGAGCCAGGAGCAGAACCAGCTCCTGCTGGCTACAGCTGGGTAGGACTGCCCAGAGGAGCATTTTAGTCTGTGAAAAATTCAGTTTGGGCCAACATGAAACAATTCATAAATTTGACATTCATACTTTGGACCATTCACCAAACTGCTGGAGGTGGGGAGGTGGTTCTGCTCCACCTTATAAACTTTTGCTGAGTAGTTGCAGCCTGTGGTTTAAGTAAACCAGTACAATCTGGCATGCTGTACCATTAAGATACATATTTCCAGGATGCTGTACCAGAAAGACACGTTTTCAGAGCCTCAGAGCTCTGCTGGGAAGCCACAATAACAAAAGGAGCAGAACACGGGTGACGCTGTGCAGACACCAGCGTGAAGATAGCAAGGCTCCAAGCAAGCAAAAGCAAACATACTCTTTGAAGACCGAAACATTATTATAGGAAGATACAGTCTTTGTGTCAGCAGGTTTCTCACCTAACTCATTTCCCAGAGACTTCTACCCTCTTGGTTGGAGGGGCCAACATTCTGTGCTTTCAGAAGCTCTGGCCCCTTGAATCTCTCAAGTGATAGGTTCCAAAATGGCTGCCCGTCTCTGCCATATAGCTCCTAAAGACCATCACAGGAGGCAGGAAGGCTTCCTACATGTCCATGTAGGGTCCCAGCAGCCCTGGAGGTTGTTTGTAGCATCCTCAGGAAGGCTCCCCAGGAAGGCGTCCATGTAGGGTCCCAGCAGCCCTGGAGGTTGTTCGTAGCATCCTCAGGAAGGCTCCCCATAGAATCATAGAACCATAGAGCTGGAAGAGACCTCAGAAGGTCAAGTCCAGCCCCCTGCTCTAGGCAGGACCAATCCCAACTAAATCAACCCAGCCAGGGCTTTGTCAAGCTGAGACCTAAACACCTCTAGGGATGGAGACTCCACTACTTCCCTAGGGAACCCATCTCAGTGCTTCACCACCCTCCTAGTGAAATAGTTTTTCCTAATATCCAAGCTGGACCTCTCCCACTACAACTTGAGACCATTGCTCCTTGTTCTGCCATCTGTCACTACTGAGACCAGCCTCTCTCCATCCTCTTTGGAACCTCCCTTCAGGAAGTTGAAAGCTGCTCTCAAATCCCCCCTCACTCTTCGCTTCTGCAGACTACACAGGCCCAACTCCCAGTGGGAGAGAAACATCTTCTAAGACCTATTGTAAATTGCCAAGGGAGGTTGTAGCATCTCCAACGCTGGAGATATTTAATAGAAGTTTGGATAGTCATCTATCAGGGATGATCTTTCTAGATGGTGCTCCGTCCTCTCTCTCTCTCTTTTTCTCTCCCCACACCCTATCTATCTATCTATCTATCTATCTATCTATCTATCCCCATACACCCCCTCTATCTATCTATCTATCTATCTATCTATCTATCTATCTATCTATCTATCTATCTATCTATCTATCTATCTATCTATCTATCTGTTTTTGAGGCTTGCCCTCTGCTGCTAGTATTGCAGAATGTCCAACTGCAGCACTTAACCTAATACTGCATTGGAGGGACTTGGTGCTGCTATGTGGAACTATAGCACCATTTGCTGTCCCTGGCATTCTCACCCCAGCCACCAGGACGCAGCAGTGACACATGCAATCTCTAATTCTAAAAGAGAACCCCTGAAAGCCAGTGGCCTTAGAGCAGGGGTCACCAACCAGTAGATCCTGATCTACTGGTAGATCTTGGAGCCTCTGACAGGTGGTCCTCACTGGTTTGGCCAAGAGGCTACCAAGCGAAGCACTTCAGCTGCCCCTCCACCCCCCTCCTGCGTATCTCCGGCCCTTTGCCTTGGAGCTGGTCCTCCCTGGGAGCCTCCTGCTTGTGGTGCAGAGTGGGGGAGGGAGAGGAGGGTGCGGAGGGTGCTGATGTCAGGGTGCCCCCCTCCCACCCTGTATTCTATCTCCACAGAACAGAGTAGGGGGAGCACAACAGGGCTTGGGATGGAAGGAGTTTGCTGGCTGCTTTTGAGAGTGGTGCAGGGCAGGGGTGATCCTGCCTTAGCCCCACTGCACCACCCTCCAGGAGTCACCTGAGGCGAGCAGTGTCCAGCTGGAGCCAGCTCAGTTCTCCTGCCCCAGTCATAAAGCCCCTTCTACACCCCGAGCTCCTACCCCAGCTCAAAGCCCCGTCACATTCCAAATCCCTCGGCCCAAGACCCTGCACCCAAACCCTCTGCCCCTGCCTGGAGAAAGGGAGGGAGAACAGGGGAGGGAGGATGGAGTGAGCAGTGGCAGGGCTATAGAGAAGGGACACAAAGGAGGTGGGGCCAGGGGATTTGGGTTTGAGGTAGATCCTGGATTGCACTTAAATTCAAAAAGTGATCTTGTGCTTAAAAAGGTTGGGGACCCCTGCATTAGAGTCTCATCAATGCTGGTAGGCTGGTGCTGTGATAGCATTTCCAGAAGCTTTTCATGACCAGTTACCTGAGAATTTTATTTCCTTTGGGGGATGGGGAAGGATGCACAGATCCTGGGGGAGACTGGTGACGAAGCAAGGGAGTGGGTATTGTGATGGGTATTTGGGTGACTGCACTAAAGCGTCCTATTAGAAGAATCCTAAGACACGTAAATGTTGCTGAAAGAAAGTGGGTGTGGGCAAAAATTCATAGATCCGACTGCACTAAAGCGTCCTATTAGAAGAATCCTAAGACACATAAATGTTGCTGAAAGAAATTGGGTATGGGCAAAAATTCATAGATCGAAGAGGAGGATCAGTTGCTCCAGGGGTGTTGCCTCATTTCCTCAGTGCTGTAAGGTCAGTGAAGTTTGATGTTACTCCCCATGTCTAGGCAAACAGAGAGACTTTCAGAAAGAGGAGCCTGAGTCAGGCTTCTAAAGCAATTATTTAGGCAACATAAACCAATTGGCTGAGTGTGCAGCAGGCTAATGACTGGAATATTTTATCCCCCCAGCTTTCCACCAGCTAAGTGTTCATGTAGTACACACCCTATAAACAAACCCAATGGCATCAGTCAGAAGACAAGGCCAGTGGCTGGAATCTAACCTCAGTCATGCTGATGTAATTCTGAATTGACTCCATTGCTTCAGCCAGGAGGGTGGAACAATGGAAAGGAACTGTCTTGGGAAGACGAGCCAGAGGCTGTAGGGTTTCTTACTGCACAGGAATGGTAAAACAGCAGTGAGTTCCACAGCTCCCTCCTCTATACATAAGGATGTTATATGGCTGCTTTGGTTAAACCCAGCTAAATATGTCTTGTTTGTTTGGGTTTTATTGAAACCCCAAACACTCAGGCTTATAAATTAGTGATCTAGGAAAGAACTAAATAAGTAGACACAGTGTCATGCCTGTACATTTTTTTTTAATTAAAGAAACAGGATTTGAGAACAGTTTAATCTTAATGCACATGCAGATTTGACTGAAAAATGCAGAATTTTCACAACAGATTTGCAAAAGTTTTAACAAAAAACATTCATTCAATTTTCAAGAAAATCTGACCCCATCTATAAACTGGTCACATTAAGAAAAAAAAAAAAGCAACAATTTTACCATGAACATTTCAAGGTATCTTTGCAAAAATATTTATGAAAAATGTCAGCCAGCTTTATTTCCATGATTTAGCAAGTACGTTCTCTTCTTTCTGATTCAGCCCAGCACTTCTTTCCATATTCTGTTTGCACAGCAAATCTTCCAGGGAATACAGTTTCCAATTCTCTTTTCCCACCGCATGCAGCGGGTGGACCGGCATGTGCCACCTCGAAAGCTACACATCATGTAGCTTTGCTGCTTGTCAGGACCTGCAGAAAGAAAAAGTGTTTCTACAACATTTTATCTTAATAAATTCAAGCAAGTAGATATTATGGTTACAAGTTGAGAGATGGAAAAAATTCTCTAATTATTCCATGATGAATAATACAATATGAATAATACAATAATATAATAACAGTATTCATTTTTTGAGGAGTACAGGAGCTGCCGAAAAAGCTCCCCACTGTTGGCAGAGCCGCAGCTACACTTTACTTTCACTTTCGACACTGATCCTTATAGCCACAGCGTCGGAATGTGAGTATGCAAACCAAGCCTGGGATATTTAAATCCTGGGCTCATTTGCACTTCCAAAGTGCTTGATTTGCATCCCTCTGTTAGCAGAGGGATGCAGTCTAGACATAGCCTAGGCGTGTGGGTTACAAGAGCAACAATTTTAAACTCTGGAACTTTTAAAATTATAAACATCTAAGATTTCTAGCTGTAACTAAGAGATTGCACACACTGTTACTTCTAAGGCCTTGTCTACATTAGTCCTCGCATCAATCTAATCTATGTGACTTCAGCTACGCAAATAGCATAGCTGACGTCAACGTATTTACCACGGCATCTTGTTTGCGGTAAGGTTGGCAGAGGCTGCTTTCCTGTTGACGTCCGCTATTCTTCTCATCTTGGTGGAGTACTGCCATTGGAGGGAGAGAGCTCGGAGATCGATTTGTCATGTCTAAGCAGATGTGATATATTGATGGCTAGTGGATTGATTGTTGCAGCGTCGATCTCTAGCATAGTGGAGACAAGTCGGAAAGGCCAAATTGACTGCGTACACAGGGGCTCCTACACCTCCCTCATACGCTTCCTGTGTGCTGCCCTC